TCTGGATTGAAGGACTTTGGTGTAGAGAAAACCTCTGGGCGTATTTCACAATGGATACTCTCTCCCTCCCTCGACACAGCCAGGAGAGGATCTTTCTCAGATCTTTATTGTGAAAATCGGACAGCGTTCCTGGAGGTAAATGCCCCACATGTGTGGGAATCCCCTTAAGACTATGGGTCCCAGGAGTGTCTCGCATCACTAGCTTCTCTCATCACCAGTGTACAGGCATTTATCAAAGTGTTTGGGTTTATGGATCCAGCGTCTCCTCCTGAAAAGCGAATGGCAGTTGAGCTCCTCTGCTTGCACTTACGTCTGCATTTTGGGGAGAAGCACTCTGCTCTGTGACCTCGGTTCCCTCACGGTCCAAGAAAAGTCATTGATTTTCCACTTATCTAGCTTTGTCTTATTGTAAGGATGGAAGTGACTGGACATCTGTGTTATTTTTATACATAAAGCATTCCTCCTTGTTTTTGTCTGTGATCAGCTTAACCTTATCCTAAGCCCTCTCTTGTGCATTTCATTGTTGCTCAGGCTTCCAGAAAACCATCTAGATGCAGGTTAAATAAATCTTTGGTAAGAAGATAATTTGCTTCCCAAAATGTCAGTGTGCTTATCCAAGTTAAACATTAGTATTCTGATGTGAGCCATTCTAGACATGGTTTGATGAAATTAACTGAAGATGAGAACCACTGATGAAGAATTTAAACAGGATTAATACCTTCATTTTAAAAGGTGGATAAGGTGGGTGAGCACATTAATGGTTTCATCCATTATATCTCTTGGTGCTAAGAATTCATGTCCTTGTCCTATTTAGGTAAAGAATTTTTATTTCTTGGCAGAAATAAGATTATATATAAACTAAACTATAACAGTAATTTTTCTCAATTGACAAAAGGCACAATGTTTGCCTGAAGCTCTTATCTAATAGCTCATTGTATATTGGACTGTTTCTAAATCAGCCAAAGTTTAATAGCGATGGGGAGAGATTAATTATCAGAGGGCCTCCTTCTCATTAAAAAATAGATTTACCACTTGAAAACTGCTGAACATTGTTTAAACATGTTTACATATCACTTCAACATTTAGTATTAACAAAATGTCTTATAAAATAGTGTCTATGTTATAATTCTTCTTGTTAAAATATGTATATAATGTTATATTTGCATATTTAAAAAGCTAACAGAAATATTAAGCAAGTATGTGTTTTTTTAATTTTCTTTTTGCATGTTTCTATTTTCTGAATTTTGTGTAATGAACAAGTAATGCTTTCATGAAAAGAAGAAAACCATAGACATCAAAATAAGAAGAATAATTCATAAAATACAAGACTTGAAAAGAATTTGGATTTATTTGTTAAGCCAGTTAAGCCAGTTCCTCATTTCTTCAGTTGAGGAAATGGAGGTACACACCAAAAAAAAAAAAAAAAATCCTCTTGAATACTGTTTCCCCATTTCTGCTTAAAGAATAATAACCATTTTTAAAGAGCTAGTTCAAACATGCACAGTTTTGGCATTTCTGTGGTAGCACGTCTCACATCTCTCACCGGTTGTAACATTTTTCAAGTATAACGTGAACCATGAAGAAGAGACAGAGATGCTGTGGGATGAGGATGGCTTCTCCTCACCACCTGTCCAGCGCTTAGCCATGTATCAGCTGTTGTTGCTCAGTCACCAAGCTGTGTTCGACTCTGAGACCCCATGGACTGCAGCCCACCCGGCTCTCCAGTCCTTCACTGTCTCCCAAAGTTTGTTCGCATTCACGTCTACTGAGTCAGCGATGCGATCTAACCATCTCATTCTCTGCTGCCCCCTTCTCCTTAGATTTCAGCCTTTACCAGCATCAGGATCTGTTCCAATATCTTACTTATGCTATTTTAATTAATCCTTTAATCTTTTCAATTAATTTTTATTGACGTAGAGTTGACTTACAATGTTTCAGGTGTCCAGCAAATTGATTAGTTTCTATTGTACATATATATGTGCATACATTGTTGTTATTTAGTCACTGAGTCATGTCCAACTCTTCTGCAACCCCATGGACTGTAGCCCGCCAGGATCCTCTGTCTGTTAGGGATTTCCCAGGAAAGAATACTGGCATGGGTTGCCATTTCCTTTTCCTAGTGATCTTCCTGACCCAGGGATTGAACCCACATCTCCTGCATTGGCAGTCAGATTCTTTACCACTGAGCCACCAGGGATGCCCATGTGTGTGTATATATACTTTTCAGATACTTTTCCATTATGGGTTATTACAAGACATTGAATACAGTTCCCATTAGAGGTTATTATAAGACATTGAATACAGTAGGTCCTTGTTTATCTATTTTATGTATAGTAGTGTATATGTGTCAATCCCAAATTTCTATTTTACTACCCTTCTACTCCCTTCCCCTTTAGCAACCATAAGTTTTTCCTATGTCTGTGAGTCTATTTCTGTTTTATAAATAAGTTCATTTGTATCCTATTTTAGATTCCCCATATAAGTCATATAATATGATATTTGTCTTTATCTACCTATTTAATTCACTTAGCATGGTAATTTCTAGGTCCACCCACGTTACTGAAAATAGCATTATATCATTCTTTTTATGGGCTGAGCAATATTCTATTGTGTGTGTATATATACATATGCTGCTGCTGCTAAGTTGCTTCAGTTGTGTCCAACTCTGTGCAACCCCATAGATGGCAGCCCACCAGGTTCTCCTGTCCCTGGGATTCTCCAGGCAAGAGTACTGGAGTGGGTTGCCATTTCTTTCTGCAGTGCATGAAAGTGAAAAGTGAAAGTGAAGTTGCTCAGTCATTTCTGACTCTTAGCAACCCCATGGACTGCAGCCCATCAGGCTTCTCCGTCCATGGGATTTGCCAGGCAAGAGTACTGGAGTGGGTTGCCATTGCCTTCTCCATATATACATATACATATATATATAAATACATATCACATCTTCTTTATCCATTCATCTATCAATGGACATTTAGGTTGCTTAATTAATCCTTTCAATACCTTCATGACTTAAATATTACTCTCATTATTCAGATGAATAAAAGGAAAATTAAACAGGTTAAAACATTTTAGAATCTTAACGTTGTCTTAAAGTTAAGACAACTTTGTCAAAACCCACAGAACCTGAGTTCTACATAGGTTCATATTTCTTCAAAACTTAACATATAGTAAATACTCAGAAAATGTATTTAATAATCGAGGTACTTATTAGCAGCTGACTGATCCTTCAGTTAATTCACAATGAAAACAACTTTGACCACAACTAGCACTTGAAGTCCAGATTTTTTAAACAAATAGAATTCTTTTTCATCACCAAAAAGTGATCATCCCTGCTGCCATCTGGCTTCCTTGTTCTCTTCTTGACTGTACTTCAAAATGCTTTTTTTAACTTATCTGTTTGCTTGAAACATCACTTTCTTTTTTAGACACCAGCTTCTGGCACTAACCTTTTGCCCCCGAGCTTAAATTCTAGAGCTAAATAACAATAGCGTATATATTTAGCACTTTCCTAAAAACTACCACGTTGGATAATTTGTTTGGAAACAGATGGGATAGATATTATTACTTTCATTTTAAGGATGTGAAGGCTAAGCCTCCAAGCATTTCTGTGATTTGCTTATGAGCTTATACAAGTTATACAGCTCTTAAATCACAAATCTAGGACCCAAGGGGAGTTTTCTGATCCCAGATCTAGTGTTCTTCCCTCTATGTTATGTGGTCTGATCATAGAGGCATTCTCTTTGTCACCCCTTTAATTACCCGCTACATGTTCGGTTACACTTAGTTTCACTTCCATCCTTAATGGACAGTTTCAGTCTCTTAGTTTTTTAGCTTTTGTTCCTGTCAGGGTTTTTAATTGCTTGCAACAGAAACTCACTCTGGCTGAACTAAGCAGGGAACAAGTTTGCTGAAAGAATAGCAGATAATTCAGGAGATCATGGAGATGCAGGATGAGAAACAGGTAAGAACGAGAGAAGAGGGCAGCAGCCAGATAGTCTGCCAGAGCTGTGCTCTTGAGCACAGGGTACCTCTGGCCATGCTTACCTTTACTGACACCTCTGATCTCATGCTTATAAACAGGATGTTGTTAGCACCACTGCTCTTGCCCACTGCTAGAATGCTTGTCCATTGTCCTTGCTTCTTTGTCAGTATCTCCTGTTTCAAAGTCTTGAATGGGTATGTCTGATTGGCTGAGTATTGATCTTGTGGTCATACTCTAGCTTCCTGGGAAGTTGGGAAACGGTAAGTGCTAAGTATGTTTAACTTCTATCATAGAAGGTGAGCTCTTTCTCTCAACAAGACTCATGAAGTATGTGTGCATGCATGCTAAGTCTCTTCAGTCGTGTCCGACTCTTTGTGACCCCATAGACTGTGGGCCGCCAGGCTCCTCTGTTCATGGGAGGCAAGAATACTGGAGTGGGTTGCCATGCCCTTCTCCGGGGGACCTTTCCAACCCAGGGACTGATACATTGCAGGCAGATTCTTTACTGCTGAATCAACATGGGCAGCCCTCATTAAGCATATACTTCTCTAAATATAACAAGGAGGTTGAAATAAAGTCCCCTACCATGACCAAAAAATAGCCAACTTCTAATATTGATTCCAATTTAGTTTTGCATGTTCTTTCTTTGAGTGAAATTTCTTTGAGATAAGGGACATATATAATTTATGACTATGTCTCGGTTGTCACTCAGCCAATAATTACACTTGCTCTGTGGCATTCTGAAGGGTTTTAACTTGTCATTTACCTTTCACTTATCATCTAAGAAATTCCTTTTCCAAAATTATCATCTAATATTTCTCTCAAACGAGTGGATTTCATCAGGGCTTGACAGCATGAACTGTGGCTTTACGAAATATTTTCAAAGCATGAAAACTACGTTTGGTATATTTCCATGGCTTTAGATTTTAAGGTATGCCGTGTTATTTTACTTTAAGAACTCCAGATATTTCTTCAACAGCAATATGTTTCTGATTCTGAATAATCCTTTCCTCTGCAGTATTTTTGAACAGTGGCTTCGAAAGTATCGTCCTCTTCAAGATGTTTATCCAGAAGCTAATGCACCCATTGGACACAACCGAGAATCCTACATGGTCCCTTTCATCCCGCTCTACAGAAACGGTGACTTCTTCATTTCATCCAAGGATCTGGGCTACGACTACAGCTACCTACAAGAGTCAGGTAAAGCTCAGTTTCTCTCATATGAATTGCTCAGTCTGATGTGCCAATCTTTTCTGAGAGCATGCAAAACCTCATGATTTTACAGTGTTATCCCCCAATGCTTTAACTTGTAAAGTGCATTATAATCCTTAGTTCATCACTGATTTATTATTGCATGGCCCAAGCTGCAAGAATCTTTAAGCTCTTATCCATTATGCTTAATATAAGGCATTCTGTGTGTGGCAACATGAGAAGAGCACTAGAATTCAGATCAGATAACAGTGAGTGTGAGACCTGATACTTTAAACTGACTTTGGTGTGACGTTGGAAATTCTGACTTCAATTCCCTGAATTTCAGCTTCTTAACCTAACATATTGGGAATATAATACCTCAAAGAGATATTGTGATAATTAAGGACATTAAGAGCCTATTGCAGTCTGCACAAGAAAAATATCTACCAGTTTTAGAATCGTCTTTGGGAACTTCCTGCTAGGGTTATCAAGAAAACTTGTGAACATTTTTTTTTTAACATTTTGATATTAAATCCAATTAACAATAATAATAATGCTAATAGATATAATAATAATTTCTATGACTATGATTAAGGTAATGTTATAAAAGCCTAGGATTGTAACTATTTCTAGGCTTTAAATAATCTTCCTTAGTTTAAGTATGCATATATTTTCTTGATAAATGAGGAACAGATAGTAATGTTCTGCTACAATCTGAGAGTCTACTCCATACTATATATGCATTATTAGTCACTATATATTCAGTTCAGTTCAGTTCAGTCACTCAGTTGTGTCCGACTCTTTGAGACCCCATGAATCGCAGCTATATATTAGCTATTATTATCCCTAGAATAAGGTGAGGACATTGATGCTAAAACAATTTCAATGACTTTCCCAGTATCAAATACCAGCATACATACGAGCCAGATTTCAATACTACAGGGTCCTCTCCACTTAACAGAAGATGGTCAAAAGCAATAAAACAAGACAGAGCATGTGGATAAGAGGTGTTCAACAAGCACTGATGTTTCATTATATTCATGGATAATTCATGATAAGGTGAATAAATTAGCAAAACTAAATGAACAGATAAATGACATTTTTTTTCTTTTACTTTTTCCTTTTTTTTCCCTTTATTTTTATTAGTTGGAGGCTAATTACTTTACAATATTGTAGTGTTTTTTGCCATACATTGACATGAATCAGTCATGGATTTACATGTGTTCCCCATCCTGAACCCCCTCCCACCTCCCTCCCCATCCCATCCCTCTGGGTCATCCCAGTGCACAAGCCCTGAGCACTTGTCTCATGCATCCAACCTGGACTGGTAATCTGTTGCACACTTGATAATATACAGGTTTCAATGCTATTCTCTCAGATCATCCCACCCTCAACTTCTCCCA